CCCCCAGTAACCAAGACCCCCTGAGCCCCCAGCACCCCCAAAGCCTTTCAGAGCCAGATCCCACACATCCACAACACCTCCCTCCACCCCTGAAGTTCCCGGTATCACCCCACAGCACCCACCCAGCACCCCACAGCACCCACCCATCACCCCTCCAGCCCCCTCAGAAGCCCCTTTGGGCCAATTTACCTCCTTCAGCCCCCCACAAGGAGACCCATCCAGTGTCCCCCTGAACCCCAGTTACCCCCAGCCCCAGGGATGACATGGATCCTCTTTCCCACAGCTCAAGAGACAAGCAGAGAGCCTGCAGTTAACACTCCCTAAAAAACGTGGGGAAAGCCCTAAAAAACTGTAGGAAAGACTTCCAAGAGTAAAGAGCTGGGAGATGGAGCAACCAGAGGTCCCTGGAGCCACCCCTAGCGTGAAAAGCTCAGGAGAAAGCAGGAGCAGGACTCAGGCCCAGACTTTAGTCCTTAATTGCAATTAAATGCATTTTCAGAGGCAGCTGTTGGTTGTGAGACAGGTGGTTTTGGTCTCTCTCTGCTCCCTTTTCACAGAATCCTGGAATGGTTTGGGTTGGAAGGGACCTTAAAGATCATCTCAATTCACCACCCAGGTTCCACTGGACCAGGTTGCTCAGAACAGCCTTGTTTAAGCTTCAGCCTTGTTTAAATTCTTGACCTGAACAACTTCTTGCAGCCCTGAATTCTGCAGCTGAATTAAACACTGGGAGAAAAAGGACTTCCCAGGTTTGGGATTCCTGCCCTGTCAATCCCAGTGCAGGGAGCAGGATGGTCTCCTCATTCTGATTTTACTGCCTTTTTGGGGGAAAGGGGTGAAATTCTGGGAGATGCTGTTGGGCAAGACCCAAACCCCCTGACTGGGACGCTGAAAGCTTTGGTTGAAGATTTGTTCCAACTTGTCAGAAGTTCCTCTGGATTCTCCAAGGTGGATTCATCCACAGGAGTAAACTCCTGCTGGCTTTGGGCTGATATCTGAGATCTTCCCAACCCTGGCTTGGCTTAGGCAGCTCCTCTAGTTCTTGTGGAGCGCCTTGAGGAATTACAGTTTAAAAGGGAACAACCTGGTTTAAAAAAAAAGAATTCCTGTGGTCCAAATATGCATTTCCCTCTTGCTATTAATATCTCAGGCCTTGATCCTCCTCCAAATGCTCATGCAGGCATTTGAGGGCTTGCAAAGGAGTGGTGCCTTTGATTCCAGAGTGGGAATGTTTCCCGGGATCATGAATTATTAAAGATAAAAGATGCTTTCAAGTGCAACGCGCTGCCCATGTTTTCCAGCGTGATTTATTTGCCTTCCTGGTGCTTTTCCCAACCTGGCAATGAAAAATTCGTTTCCAGATTTCTTGTGGAGGTTTGGAGTAACTCATGCTTAGGGCATGAACTGCACAAACTGCAGCCTTTTTTTTTCTAGAGGTGATTTCCAGTGGAATAAGACAGGCTTTCCTTTCATCCTGCTGTCCTGGGAAGCCTTTTATTTTTCAGCTCCCACTTTGGGCCCTGCTGGTGGTCCTTCCCTGCAGCAGCAGCAGCAGCGTTGCATTTGTGAGGAATGGAGGCAGCTGCTGCCATCTAATGGGAGATTTCAGCCTCCACAGATAATAAAATAAATAAATAAATAAAAATATATGTAAAAAATAAATAAAATTTAAAAAATAATAAAATAAGCTAAAACAAAACAAAACCTTTTCCTGCACAATCCTGCTACCAACTCAGCGAACCAGCACCTTCCACACTTAATCCTAGCACATTTAGGCAAAGGGAAAAGCTGATCTGGTGGGTGGCTGGGTGGCTTTGCACAGGGAAGTGTTGCAGCCCCAGTAAAAAGAACCTTTCTGGGTTGATCCATCATTTCACCTTCTCTTGTTGTGGATCAGACTTTATGGATCTTGTTATGATGCATCTCTTCTAATGGGTGAAACTTGCAAAGTACCCTTGGATTTATATTATTTTAAGATAGAAGCAGAAATAGTGAAGAGGAGCCTAAACAAAAACAAGAAGCCCTTCCAGATATCCCAAATACCAAACCCGGGCACAGCTCTGAGCTGAGCCAAATAAACCCTTCCCAAGGAGCTGCTCCAGCAATAAAAATGTTGTATAAAGAAACATGGTAAAGAGGGACAGACATGGAATGGCAGCATAAATATATTGCATCAAGAAAAGAAAGTATTTAAATGGTATTTAAGGGAAGATGAGTTGGGACAGGCTTGGGGAAGACATGAAGGGGAGGGAGAATTTAGGGTACAGAGGGCTGGGGGGATAAATTGGGGTGTGCAGGGGAGATAACTCATCCTAAAGGACTCAGAAATTCCTGTGTCATTATGCAAAGTTGTACCTGGCTGGTGAAGCTGGGATATATAAAACATATATAATTATATATAAAAATATATAGTCTTACTAAAAACCCAACTCTTGTTGTCACTTTGTTTTCCTAAAGCAGAAACTAGCTACTATTGTGCTTTGCCATTATATTCATATAAATAACAACAAGCAAACCCAAGTAGGCAGAATTATTTCCCCTTAACCTGCATGTGAACACAGTCTTTAAATACTCCTGTGGAACTGCTGGGAATTTACACAGAACTGATAAAAATACTAAAGTGTAACACTGGTATTCTTATTTGTTTAGTCTGTATCCCGTTGTTTCCAGATCAAATCCAATCCAATTGCAAAGCCAGAGAAACACCAACAGCCTTAAACTCCCTCATTTTATATACTTGGGGAACTCCAGGTATTCATTTCTTCTGTCCCAAGGCTTGGTTTTTTGCTCCCTGCTGCTTCCAGTGTCATTCCAGCATCTCAGATCCATCAGGGTTCCTTCTCTACCTCTTTCCTTGTTTTTTTTTTTATCTCCAAGAGAAAGTGATAAAGTTTCCCAACAAGTATTTTGGAGGGCTGCTGTGTCCTGGACCATGGCAGGAGCTCCTCCCCAGCGCCTGTTGCTCTCAGCATCCAAGGAATATCAGGCAAGGAAAACACACAGGGAGCAGAGAAGGTGTCCAAGGGATATTTTTATGCTTTTATGGCGTCTCTGAGGTTTCAAATCACGGTGGGGGCTGGTCTGTCCATCACCAGCAGCAGTACTTTTTCTTCTGGGGTGCCTTCGGTACTTCTTCTGCCTTATTTTTTAATTCATCTTCACGATCTTTGAGCAACCTGGGAGAAAAAAGAAGCAAATTAAGTGGTTATTTTCCCCTTATTTCATATTGCTATGGTCTTTGACACAACAAGCCTTGGAAAAGGAGGCTCAGCAAGGCTGAAAGGAATCAGGAGAACTGAGAACTGTGGACTCTGCTAAAATCACCAACCTAAATCAAATGACAGACAGAATTCATTTCAGTCAACCCCGGGGGAAATCAGCAGCATCCCCAAAAAAGGGTTTTATCAATCTCCTTGCAATTCTGAGCGTTCAGGAGACAACTTGCTCTGGCTCACCCCAGCCACGCACGTACTGCCCTGAGTTCCCCCTGATGTTTGGAGTCTCCAGTGACGGTGACACACCAGTATTTGGAGTTAAAAAAGCAGGGAGGGAGCCCATGACACCGAGGAGAGCTGGCAGAACCCAACCAAGCACGTTCCCCTCACCTGACGAAGCTGACCATGGACTCCAAGACGTTGTGGCCCGAGGCAGCGCTGCACTCGTAGAACATGAGCTGATGCTCCTGCAAGACACGGAGCCCAAACAGAAAGGTAACATTCTTACCCTGGAATAGCTTAATATGGGAACAAACAGCCGTGGGACAGTCACTGTCAAGGGGAAACAGGAAGGAATCAAGGAAACAAATAACTCATTTGTTGGAAGATGAGGGTGAAATCCAGTTTTTCTGGTCGCTGTGACTCCAACTTTTAATACCAAGGAAAAGGCTGAATAAGATGTGATGTCCTTTGGTTAGCAGAGACATAAGTAGATGTTCCCAGCTCATTTGTGCCTGACAATGGCCAATTTGGGAAAATAAGCATCTATTTCCTTGCCCTGCTGTCTCCTTTGTAAAACCATTGGATAGATACTGGTCCAAATCCCATAAACTTTAAAATTACCTCAATAAAGATGAGACTCTTCTCATTCTTCTCACCTAATTTTTATTATCCATCTATATTTGTAGAGGCTAATTGTACTTCAGGTATTTCAGTATCTTTAAAACAGGATAGGGCTTGGTGGGTTTATTGTTTTTATGCTGCTGAGAAGACAAGTGACACGTCACAGCAAGGACAAGCAGAGCTGAAAATGTTTCAATTTACAGTTCCAATTCCATAAACTGATTTACTGGGGTGGTGCTGAGCTGAAACTAAAATGGCAAAAAGGGAAAGCAAGGCAGGAAAGGGCCAGAGGTGGGGCCGGAGAGCACTTCACCAACCACTGGTGCATGAGGGGTAAATTAGGGGATTCCACCTTCCTCCAGGTCCTCAGGCTGGTGGAATCCATCCACAGCTGTCCCTGCCGAGCTTGGGTGGACACACTTCACCACCTACCTTGGCCAGGCATTCCCCCTCCTTCACAGGGACCTGTCTCTCGGCAGCACGGTCGGTTTTGTTCCCAAGAAGCAGAACAGCAACTCCATCCTCTGCTGCTTCCTGAGCAGTCAAAGAGGGGAGAATCAGGAGAGCATCCCAATCTCCCTTGAATCCCAGCTGGCTACACCATCTACACACTTCTTGGAAAGGATTCCCAAGGATTTGGGCTGATAACAAAACTGTAAATTCTTAAATAAGTTTAACAGCATTTAAGAAAATATTTTTTTTTTCTGCTTAAATCAGCTGTCCTGGTCTATTAACAGGGCATGACATGAATTTACTTTGTGTTCAGCTTCAGGAACCCTCCTGGAGGTGTTCTGGCTGGGATTTACATGCACTGAGCAAGGCAAGATCCTATTTTGTTCCAGAGATTGTAAACACTGGCTTTGTACTCAAATGGAAATCTCTGACGAGAAGTTTTTAGTAAGAGATGAGTCACCTTCCCTTTTTCCAGGACTCAAAGTGGACAATTTTGATTTAAAAGCATTATCAAAAATCAGTTTCAATATTTTCCATTCCTCTAAAATCAGTTTCAACATTTCTCATTCCTCTGCACTGGTTTTTAATCTTTCAAGAGTTGCTCCTTATTCTAACAATGCTATCAACAAATTACCCCAGGAAACACTGGAAAAATATGAAAATTGCCTGTATTTGATTCAAATCCTCCAAGAAAAAGTATTTTATAACCAAAGCCAAGCAGAGTCCCCTCGTCCAAGCACTTGGCCACCCCCGGATGCCCATCCCTAACTAGTGGCAGAGGTCAGGTGAGGAAATGCTGGTTTCGGGGTCACCACCAGCTCCAAGACCTCGTGGACTTCACCCACCTGGATGCAGCTGAGCCAGTACCTCACGTCGGAGAAGGAGTACTGGGATGTGATGTCATACATGAGCACGACCCCATCTGCCTTCCTGAAGAACTGCTTGGTCATGCTGTGGTACCTGTGTGCATTTCAAAGGGTCACCACCACGGGTTAAGGAGGTTTTGCCCCTCAGAGGGACGTGAAATCCTAGAGGGAAAACTGGGAATGTCTAAAAAAAAAAATAAAAAAAAAGGCCACCCCCAAGGTTTGGCTCTTGTCCTGATGGCAGAGGCCAGCCCGAGTGCCAGTTTTATCTTAATTACTTCCTTTATTATGCTTTAATCAGATCACGTACTGTACAGAGTCCCTCCTTGAACAACCCCTCCTTTGCTTAGCAGAGCCAAGAACATTCATTTCCACCAAACTGCCAGGAGAAAGAGAGCCACAGGTTGTGTCCTTAAGCAACAGCACAGCTCCTCACCTCTCCTGACCAGCTGAGTCCCACAGGCGGAGGGCAAAGCGCTTGTTGTCCACAACCAGGTTTTTGATCCGATAATCCAGGCCTAGAAGACACAAAAAAGGGGATATTTGGATACTGTAGCATTCCTCCCTGTGGCAGAGGATGGATGGAGAAGGAACGTGGTGCAGGGTGGACTGAGGCTGCAGATCCAGGGCTTGGTTTAAGAGAAGTGGATACGATTCTTAAAATCTTGTATTCAAGAGAAAAGTATATAAGAATGCACATATAAAGATCTTAGCCAAGCCATAACAGATTGTTAAATACATAAAGGCAAATATTGTATCTAACTATGTGCTAAATTAGGGTTATTTTGGCACTTGAATGGTACAAAAAGATCGAAAAGTTACAGTGCTCGTGGCTTAATGTATGTTTGCTTTCAAGTTGAGACTAATATACCCCTGGAAAGAGATCTGCAAATATCACTAAATACCATTCACCACTCTGTAAGTTTTAGAATATGGACTCTGGGAGAAGTGGGGTGAAGAGAAGAGAAGAGAAGAGAGCTGAAAGGCAAAGGGGGAAGCATGAGAGCCACTGGTACTGGTGCCCTGGGGAGGACAAGGAGGACCAGCGTTGCCTGCTCATGAGCATCCAGGCGTGGGAAGTTGTGGTGGTTCTGGCTGGTCCCTGGGGATGGGTTGTACCACACGCTTGGTGTGAGCTGTAACAGGCATGTAAAGCCCACCAGGAACTTGTGGGGTGGAGGAAAGGGAGTTGCAGTGGTGATCCAAGAGAGTACTTGGAGAAGAGCTGGAGGAGACCTTACCCACTGTGGCAGTGAGGTTGGGGTTGAAGCTGTCGGCGTGTAACCGGTACAGGAACGATGTTTTGCCCACGTGGGAGTCCCCGACGAACAGCACGTTGTACAGGTGGTCTGGGTCCAGGGGAGCTTTAGGACAACCCTCTGGGGCAGCTCCTGCTCCCTCTGCAGCCACAGCCTCTGGCTCCCCTGGGCTGGGCTCGCCCTCCTGGCTCATTTTCTGACCAAGCTCTTGCGGCTTCTCTCGTTTACCAACACCGAGGTCTTCGCTCTGTTCTCCCAAGAGCTGCCTTTGAAGCTCCCCCAGGTCTGCAAGGACCACCCCCAGCTGATCATTCCCAACATCTTCCTGCGGCTGGACCCTCAGGTGAAGGGTTGACCCTGGTGGCACCTCTTGCTTTGGAGGCTCAGCAGGCCCTGCAGCCACCTGCTCTGGTTCCATCACACACGGTGTCTTCCCCTCCAGGTGCTGGGCGGGAGCGTGAATCCTCACGGGGTATCCCTGTGCTGACACCTGCTCCTGGAGCTCGCTTTGGGCTGCCTGTCCTGAAGCACAAACCCGCCACACATCTGGAATGAGAACATCCTCCTGCATCACCGTTTCCAGCTTTACTGGGCCAGTTTGTGAGGGCACCTCGGAGAGCGGGGGGGCCGGGGCAGACACACCGTCATCGTGGCCCTGACGTCGTCCTAGACCCTGGGTTTTGTCTACACTCCTCTCCCCTGCCTCCAACCTCTCTCCCTGCACCACTTCCAGATCTTGAGCTCCATCCAGAGGCCTCCCCTCTGCAGCTGCCCTCTCTCCCTGTGGTAATTCCAGTGCCTGGGTGTCCCCCAGGATCTGCCCATCAGGACCAGCGGGTGCTCCCGGCTTTGCTTCCAGACCAAGACCCTCTGCAGCAGTGACAGGCTCAGGATATGAATCAGCCTCAGCTGGAGGGGGCACATGTGCAGCAGCAGCTCCCTCCCACGTGTTTGTGATGTGAGCTGCACACAGACCTGCCCCAACACCTGGAGTCAGGCTCTGCTCCCCTTCCCACATCCCAGCTGCACCCAGGGGTGCCAGATCTGCCTCTGAGCTCTCTCCTGAGGCTGATTTGAGCTCATCCTCCTCTGTAGACAGCTGCATATTGGCACCAGTGCTCTGGCCCTCCAGTGTGCCCAGGCTTTCAGCCTCCTCTCGTGTTTGTACTCCTGCACCAGCCTCTACTCCCTGCCCAGCTCTTGATCCCTGTGTATCCAGCACAGGCTCCCCCAGTCCTTGTTCCCCATCCTCAGCCTCATCCCTGAGCTGCACAGCTTCATAGTCCTCCTTTCCCTGGGGGGTTTCTGGACTGGCACTCCCACACAGCTGCATGTCTGTCCAGGAGTCCTGTGTCTCCATTTCCACTAATTCTGCTTTATCCACCTGGCCCAGGGGTTGCACTCCTGGATCCACACTCCCTCCCTGCTCTGTCCCCAGGGAGTCAGTCACGCTCAGGGGCTGCAGATCTGCCTCTGTGCTCCCTCCTGGGGTCAGTCTGAGCTCATCCTCCTCTGCAATCAGCTGCACATTGACACCAGAGCTCTGACCCTCCAGCGTGTCCAGTACAGGCTCCTGTGGCAGTCCATGCTCACCCTGTCCTTGTCCCCAGTCCTCAGCCTCATCCCTGAACTCCATGGCTGGATGGTTCCCTTCTTGCTGGGAGGTTTCTGGGTTGGCATCTCCACTCAGCTGCTTGTCTCTCCAGGAGTCTTCTGTCTCCACCATTTCCACTAATTCTTCTGCATTGACCTGATCCAGGGGTTGCACTCCCAGATCCACACTCCCTCCCTGCTCTGACCCCAGGGAGTCAATCTCAGCCAGGGGCTGCAGATCTGACTCTGTGCTTCCTCCTGGGATCAAAGTGAGCTCATCCACCTCTGCAAGCAGCTGCATATTGCCATCAGTGCTCTGGTCCTCAGTGGTGTCCAGGCTTTCAGACTCATCCCAGACCTGCACACCAGCTCCAGCCTCCTCTCCCAGCCCAGTTGCTGCTCCATGAGGTTCAAGCACAGGCTCCTGTGGCAGCTCACACTCATCCTGTCCTTGTGCCTCATCCTCCTCCTCGAGCTGAATGGCTGTTCCACCCTCTCTTCCCCACAGGACTCCTGGGCTGAGGCCCCCACGCAGCTGCACATCTGCCTGGGCATCCTCTGCCTCCATTTCCAAAAACTCTGCTTTATTGACCTGATTCAGGGCCTGCACATCTGGATCTAATCTCTCTCCCTGCTCTGTCCCTGTGGATCCAGCCTCACCCAAGAGCTGTAGATTTGCCTCTGTGCTTCCTCCTGGGATCAAAGCGAGCTCATCCACCTCTGTAAGCAGCTGCACTTTTCCATCAGTGCTCTGGTCCTCAGTAGTGTCCAGGTTTTCATCCTTCTCCTGTGGTTGCACACCTGTACCAACCCCCTCTCCCTGCCCAACTGCTGCTCCATGAGGTTCAAGCACAGGCTCCTGTGGCAGCCCGGGCTCATCCTGTCCTTGTGCCCCATCCTCCTCCTCAATCTGAACATCTGTTCCTCCCTTCGCTCCCCACAGCGTTTCTGGGCTGAGACCCCCACTCAGCTGCACATCTGCCTGGGCATCCTCTGCCTCCACCAGTTCCCGCGGCTGAGACCTAAAGGGGAACAGCCCACACAGGTCAGAGCTCCCTGCAGGTGCTTCTGGTGAGGAAGGACCCTCACTGTGCACCTCAGCAGCCCCCCTTTCTTCCCCCAGCCCTACCTGTGGCTCATCCTCCTCCTCCAGTGGCTGCACACCTGGATCCACACTCCCTCCCTGCTCTGTCCCCGGGGATCCAGCCTCGCTCGAGACCTGCGGATCTGCCTCCTCCTGTGCCGGCAGCTGCGTGTTGGTATCGCTGTTCTGGGCCTCCAGCTGTTCTACATCTGCTCTCATCCCCCCTTCCTGCACGTCGAGGAGTGGCACAGCCGCTACCAGCGGCACCTCAGCCCCCGCGCTGCCTCCCCACCCTGCGTCCCCCCTTACAGACCCTCCCTGCGGCTGCAGCTCTGCCTCCCTGGGCTGTGTTTCCTCCACCTCCTCTTCCTCGCCCCCGGAGCTGCAGCTCATGCCATGCTCAGCCGGGGCTGGCAGCCCTTCGGCATCCGAGGGCTCTCCCCGGGGCTGCAGCTCCGCACTGACACGATCCTCCTCCTCCTCCTCCTCCTCCTCCAGCACCCCGGGGCCGGGAGCCACGGCAACCTCCGGGGTGACACCATCTCCCTGGGCTGCTCCCACTTGTGCCTCGCCCTGGGATGGTGGCTCTGGCTCCAGGTGCTCTCCCAGCTCTATTTCCAGTTTCCCAGAGAGCCCCCACGATGGATCAGCCCATTCCTGCGGTGCCATGCCCAGGGTGGGCACACATTCCCCTGGAGCTGCCCCTGGCTGAAGCTCTTCCACGGCAAGGCACTGTCCCACTGCTAGAACTGCCTGCCCAGCCTCAGGTGGCCCCAGACCTGCCTCCAAACTTTCTCCCTGTCTCATCCCCGCTTCCTCAGCTTCTCCCAGGAGCTGTGCCTTTTCCCAACCTGTGTTTCCCTGCGTCCACCCTTCTCCCTCCACCTCTGCCTCCTCTCCTGTCTCCTTGCTCTCTCCCAGCTGCTCTGTCACCTTTAGCACCATCTCCTTCACACCAGCACCCTTTCCTGGCAGGAATATCATCCTCTGTGCCTCCTCTGGGCTCTCTCCCTGCTCTGCCCCTGGCTCCTTAGCCATGTAGCGCCCGGCTCCCACCGACCCACCAGCCTGCGTCACATCCAGAGCACGAAACTCAGCTGTGGCTGGTCCTTCTTTCAGGTCTCCTTCAAACAGCTCATGGCTGATGTGGCCAGGGAGGGTGTCCTGCAGAACCTCAGGGGTTGTTCCATGGGCTGTGGCTGCCTCCTGTCCTGTTTGGGGCTCAGCATCATCCCGGGGGTGACTGGCAGTGTCTGCCAGAGCAGGGGGTGCACCGGGTGCCTGTGCCTTCAGATGTTTGCTCAGAGCTGCTATTGCATCATTCATCTCTCTTAGCAAAGAGCTCTGGTCAGAGAGGTGTTCCTCTTTGAGGTTCTCTGGGAAGAGCTCCTCTTTTGCAGAGCTCGCTCCCGCCGGGGCTCCCGAAATGCTTATTTCTGCTGGCAGCACTTCCCAAACCCTGGAAAGGGCAGAAAATGGGGGGGATGAGCCCAGTTCCCAGGTCAGGCTCCAGCTCCCTCCCATCCTTGGCCCGTCCCAGGGGGCCTCTGATCTACCACCTGACCCCATCCCTCTCCAAACCCCATCTTATTTACCCTCTGGGTGCACTTGGGGCTCACACGGGCAGCAGTGGGGACAAGGGAAAGGGGGATGCACACATGGATGCATGTGCCTCTTCCCAGTATCTGTCATCATTATCAGACATGAAAAGATGCTTCTCAGCCAGGTACAGCAAGTTCCTGAGCCAAGGGAGTGATGAGCTGGGATAAGAGATGTGATCTCCAGGATGAGAGATGAGTGGGTGGGAGGGGAGCATTAAAAGGACTAAATATCATGGTTTGCCTGGGGAGGGTGGAGGGAGGACCTGGGGCCTTAGCACCAGCTCACAGACCCCAGGGGCACATGTGGGAGCAGCAGCTGCTGCCCAGGACCCCTTACACTTGGTGGGTGTTCTTGGCTTTGCTTTCATCACTCTGGGAACCCAGCCTGATCCGCATCTCCGAGCGGAACTTCTCACTCTTCCCCGGACTCATCTGCAAGAAACAAGGTGAGAAGGGGAGAGGAAAGACAAGAAGCCTTGGTGAGGGAGTGTATCCACCTGAAACAATGCTGAGCTCTTCAGCAGGTATCCAGATGTACCCACCCAAAGGCTTGGGGGTACCAGAACTAAGGTGCTGCTGCTGCCCCCTCCCTTCCCAAACATCTGCATGGCATCGTGACAACCCCATTTGAGGAAGCTTTTAGGGCAGGCAGTGCCTCAGCTGCAGGGGCACCCTGTGCTCCTGGGCTCCCCAGCAGTCCCAAATTGAGCAGCACAAGGCCCTGGAGCGTGGACACCTTGTCCTGTGCCCACACCCCCCTCTGAAGTACCTGTGGGGACATCGGCATCTCGCCGGGTAACTCTGCCATCGCTCTGTCCCTGCAAACACAGAGCACGGGGGTCAAAATGGCAATTGCATCCTCTTCACCACATCCACCCCTGCCCCAGGGCTGTCCTCAGCCCCCAGGGCAGTGATAAAGCAGGACAGCAAAACCCACCACCCCTGGAGCAGTCCTGGCTGGGTCCTTCTGGGTGAAGGGCATCCCCATCTCTGCTGGCACTGTCCTCAAGGGACAGGTGCAGTGCATGCTGCTGATAGTTCTGCCTTTTTTTCCTGATGCTCTTCACACCAAGCCACGGTTAATCTGTACCATGGAGACCTCTGAAGCACCATCATGACTGAGACCCGTCCAGGAGGAAACCACATATGTGCAGATGCTTCACTCAGCCACTCACCCTGGCTCCTCCACGTGCTCCCAAGCCCTCATTGTCCTCAGGTGCCCCTGGGTCTGCTTGAGCTGCCGGTGGAGGTGCTGCAGGTGATCCTCCAGCATCCTGTTGCTCTCCTCCAGCTCCCGGTTTTCCGTGCTGGTGATTTGCTGGGCGCTGCGGAGGCTGCGGCACCGCCGCTCCAGCTGCGGGATGGCAACCAGGACACTCATATTTCCCCACGGAAAATAATTCATGGACAGCCACCTCCTCCAGAGCCTGGGCTGAACTCCCCCTCCACCGTGAGGGGGGGCAATTCACTCATAAGTGGGCCGGGGTTTGGGGCCAGCCCACCTCCATCTGCGCCGTGACCAAGCGCTGCACCTCCCTCTCGCTGGCATCCAGCACCCGCCGCAGCTCCGCGTCCTGCTGGTGGCTCCGGGCCACGCTCTGGGATGGCAACAAGGACGCTGGCACCCACTGGGGGCTGCCAAGGGGATTTTGGGGTGCTGAGTCCCCGCTGGGGTGGGCAGCAAAGGGAGAGGAGCAGTCGGTGACCCACCGTCTGCTCCAGCCGCTGCTGCTCCTGCTGGATCTGCTGCTCCAGGACCTCGCAGAGCTGCTGCACCTCCTTGTCGTGCTCAGCCACACGCCTGTGGGGATGGCGAGGTGGAGGGGTGGGTGGTCTGACCCTGCTGCAGGGGGGGCGGGCTCCTGGGACCCCACATTGCCCACTGGACCCTCTGGCTGCAGCTGGGTTTGCCCCAAGGGGTTCACCCAGCACGGATGTGTCCAACTGAGTCCAGCCCTTTTGCCATCCCATCCAGGACTGTAGAGGGAGCCCAACCCCAAAGACCAGCGAAGCCTCTGCTCTGGCCACTGATGGAGATGTTGAGAGCACTCAGGTTTCCTCCCCGCGGCTGGGATGAGCCATCCTTCCCATCCCTGTCCCCATCCTTCACATCCCACCTCTCCCCACTGCCCTGTGGTGACTCACTTGTTCAGAGTCACCTCCAAAGCCTCCTTCTCCCTCCTGGCTTCTTGGATGCGGTGCCTCATCTTGGCCAGGAATTCCTCCAGGTTGCCCAGGAGCTGGGGCTCGTCCTGCCGGAGCTTCACCCAGAGCTGCCAGATCTCCTGCCTGCAGGGACAGGGGTGCTTTAGGGTGAGCATCTCCCCCAGGGCCCCCCCCCCCCAAAAGCCAGGCCAGGCTCCCTGCAGGGCTCCCATGGGTGCTAAGCAGGGCACTTACTCTTCAGAGATGTTGTCAGTGCCCAGCTGGTCCATAAAGGCAGCAAAGTGTCTCCTGTCCTCGCTGTCCACCCCTTCCAAGGCCGGGCTGGGGAGGACCAAGCGGACCCTCCGCGACGCCGTTTTCCGCCGCCGGTGCTCCCTGGCAGCTTTTTGGGAGCTCAGGAACTGCCCTGCCAACAGATATCCCAAATCCTCAGTGCCCAAGCCGGGGTGCCAGCAAAGCCCAGCCCCTGACACTTCGCACCCCATGGGTTCAACAACCTGCTGCAGCACAATGGGACCCTTCACCGGGTGAGCCACGGGCTGAGACCTGGGCATGGGGACGATTCGGGGACACCACGTGCCACACAGCAAGGGGAGCACTTCACAGCCCTCTTAGCTAAGCACTGGGGCTGTGCCCAGGATCAGCCTGGGCTGTTTGGGGGCAGCGTGTGGCACTTACGGAGCCCGGCAGTGAACTCCTCGCTGCTCAACCTCCCGGTGCCGGCGGCATCCAGCCCGTCAAAGATCAGCTCCAGCTCCTCTGTGCTGCAGGGAAAACCCTCCTCCTGGAATTTCTAAAAACAAAGGAAATCAGGGGGATAACCCCACCCATCGCCCAGTCTCCAGCCACCCACAGAAGACAACCCCATCCCTTACCTGCATGTCTGAGCGGGTGACGAACCCTGCCTGGTCCTTGTCCCGCTCCCTGAGGAAGTCCTGCACCCTCTGCACTATTTCAGATGGCCATGGCTGTTCCTCACCCGGGCCAGGTGCTGGTTCTGGTACCTCACTGGAGCCCTCACGGATCTGCCTGCGCCGGCTGGAGCCCAAACGCCGGCCCTTGGTGCCCGCCCGGCGCTCGGACATGGCCCCAGCTCCGTCCTGTCAGAGAAACCAGCGGGTGCTGAGCCTTGGCTGGCTCTCTCCTTGCTGCAGAGCTTTGCTTTGGGAGGTGGCAGAGAGAGAGAGAGACCAAGCTGGAAGTTCATTTTGCTGGCGCAAGAAGGGTTTGGCAATAGGAAGAGAAGGTCTTATCTCTGATTGCAGGGCACAAACGGAGCCTGGACCCATAGCAAACAGCGGCCATTCCCTCCAGCCATCCCCCTGGATTCCAGCCCATGGGTGAGCACCTTCTCCTGCCACCAGCCAAGCACCCATCCCAAACCTCCCCCTGCCCTGGCTGTGGAGGTTGCACAGGGCACCAGCCCCCTCAAAGGCCACCTGGGAGGTGACACAGCCGGGAGGTGACGCCAGCAAAGGACCAGCCAAGGCGATGCTGGAGACCTGGTGGTTCCACCTGCTCCCTCAGAGCTCAGCAGCAGCTTTAAAAATTCCTCCCCCAGTTTTCACAGCTGTGAGTCACCTCCGGGGAGAGCCACGAGGCCTCGGGAGGTTTCCATCGCTCTGTGTGCTCACCCCAGCTTGTGGGGTCTGGGCTGGGGACCCCCCACAGCCTGAGGGGGTGGCAAACACCACCAGCCACCGTGCCATCCCTGTGAGGGGTTGTTCTCTGAGTAGCAAAGCTGAAACACCGAGGGAAGGAAACCACAGCCCTGGGGAGCTGTGACGCAGAGCCGGGGCCGTGTTTGAGCCCAGCTTTCCTCTCCCAGCCCAGGGAGACCCCCCAGCTTCCCCAGCCCTCCTTCCCTTTCCAGTGAGAAGCAGCCATGCTCCTAAATCCCAGGGTGCTCCAGAAATGTGGGAACAGACCCCAAAACTAGGGGGGGCTTGTGGAGTTGCTGCAGTCCCAGAGGGCAGAAACCAAGTGCCTTTATGGTGGTCTCAACCCCACAAAGCAGAAGTGGGAGCCCCCAGGGAGGAGAAGCAAGAGCTCTGGGTGGGAAGGGGGGTTGTTTAAGACATGGGGAAGCCCCCAGTTACCTTCCCCAGCCCCTGGGGGGTGGGCTGAGCCCGTTGCACCACAGAGGCACTGAACAAACAGGGGGATGGGGTGGGAATTGTGCACCCCCAGCCAAGCAGGTTCCCCCCACGGCATCACCAGCAACCTGCCTCTCCTCCGAAACCTCCCACGCTGCTCCCAGCCGTCAGAAAAGGGCCCCTCAGCCACAGTCCTCCACAAGCAGCAAGAAAAACCTCCCACAGAAAGAAAAAAACCCCTTATTTCCCCTCTTTTCTACTCCTTCAGGTGATGCACCAACTACTCTCCGGGGGCAGCAGAACTTACCCTTCCCACGTGCCGAGAGGGACCCTCAATTTTGGGGCACACGAGGCAGTGGGGCCCCCCGGGCCAGGGGAGATGCTGGTCCCACAGCAGCCCGTGCCAGAGCTCTCATTTTCTCTTACTCAAGGCGCTTTCCGCTGTGGGGGTGACACTCAACTGCCGGCGCTCACACGTTTCCTGTTTGCTGCCTTGCAAGCGGGGTGAGGGAAGGACCCATCCAGAGGGTCACCATCCCCCTCAAACCCCTCAGATCCCCAAAGCAGCTCTGCAAAGGCATTGGGAACTGCAGCAGAAGTCCCCATCCTTTTCTCATCCGCAACTGTCCAGGGCAGGGGAAGAGCAAATGTTTATTTTAAGGCTCCAAGTAACCCAAAGCACAGGACTATCTGTAACCCACAGATCACAACATCCTACCATCGACAGAACAACCTGCAAGTCCCCCCCCCGTGGAGGCTCTTTGGTCCCAGCATTTGGAGATCTCACCTGCTGTGCAGCTCTTTGATGCTTTTTTTCAAGGCTCCTGCCTGAATTATTAAGTTGGCTTTAAACCCAGCACTAAACCCACTAAGCCCTGCCCGTGGGCTGTGCCTGCTCTGGGTCACAAGGGGAAAGGGGGATGTGGTGGGTCATGGGCGTTTTTATTCCATTTTAACTGCAAAATGGGAAGAAAACTCAAGCAAGGGGAAACATAAACTCTTATCTGTAGGTTGTAACTAGAATTAACAGATCTGAGCCCACAGGAGGGTAAGATCCAGGAGGGAGGGTACGATCCAGCCCCGATGAGATGCTGGGCAGGTCTCAGAGAAAGGGGCTTCAATATAGTAGGGAAAAGAAGGGAAGCACCTGACCCTCCTCCTATGGGAGTTTGAACATCATCCCTGCGCTGTGCCAAAGCCAGGCTGGACTGAGAGCAGCAAAACACAACCTGGGCTGAAAGAGGGAAAATCCCATCCATTCCTCAGCTGCTGGAAGCCCCTTGTGTGTCCCAGAGCTGGGGACACACAGTCCTGGAGTGTCCCAGGGACTCAAAGCTCAAGCCTCAGTGCCCAGCTCCCTCTGGCACAGCAGGGCCAGGCCCTGGGTGTCCCTGCAAACAGGGACAAGGGGGGTTTCACTGGTTTGTTTCTCGTTTCCTCCGTCACCAGCTCTCCTGGCAAACGGGAGGTGACAGCAGAGGGGAGCAGTTGGCAGCAGCCAAGGGGGCTGACGTAAGGGGAAAGATTACAGGGGCTAAATCTGTAGGGTTTGACTCAGCAGCAGCTCAAAGGCAGTGTGATTGTGCCCCACAAACAAGGGCTTGCCTGGCTGTCACCCCACACTCTGGGGACAGGCAGATGCTGAGTGATGACAGGAGGTTGTCACCATTGAGACTTTAACTTCATCTGGACCCTCTGCAAAGCAGGTCATTTGTGCCATGAACCAGAACCTGAGTCTGCATCCAGGTCTTGCTCAGTCCTCAGGGGTACCCCCGACTCCCAGGGGATCTCAGTCCCACCTGGGACTTGCTGCCACACCTTTCCATCAGCAATGACACCATCCCAGTGTCCCTATCCCAGCGTGGCCACCCACTTTCCCCACCCAGCACTGCAGGAGGAAGGGATGGGACCAGCCTGGCCGTGGCTAATGGCCACTTGTCCCACAGCACAGTGCACTGGGGGTTAGGAGGAGCAGGGTCACAGTGGCAAAGGGGGAACAATGTGGGTAAAAGGAATCACCTTCACACAGGGGCCTGCAGTGAGATCCCACTCACTGGCTTCTGCTGGGGACGTGGTGGCAGCACCAGACCACTGTCCTAAGGCAATGGGGTTAAAAAACTTGCCATGACCCCCGTGCTTATCCCTCTCAGGCCTCACAACAGCAGCTCTCAGCTCAGGGCTGCACCCCCAGGCTCCAGAAGCAGGCAGGGACCCAGAGCACCTTCCTCCCCACAGCCAGGCCCTGCTCCCAGTTATTCCCATCAACCCAGAGACACCAATTCCCTTATACATGGCCAGTGTTTATTGGAAGTTAACATTTATAAACAAACATGTATCTCCCCTTTCCCCACGTACACTTAATAGCATTATTATTAATATAAATAAACATTTAGTGCTGGGAGCTTGGCAGCTTCACCGACAGCAAAGTGCATCGTGGTGCAAGGTGGGAGGTCAATCCCATCCCTTTCCTTCCTGGGACCATCTTGCACCACTTTCCAGAGTCCAAATCCAGCAGAGGAGGAGATGAACCCCGGGAAAGTGCTGAGACCCGTCAGTGTAGAGTCCCTCAGGAGCAGGGACTCATCCTTCAGTGCTGGGACTGAGCAGCCTTTGCTCCAGGCCGTCCCAGAGGTGACCCAAGTCCTTGCTCTGCAGAGCCAGGTGAGGGTCCTCTCCCCTCAGCCCCAAAGGAGAAAAAGTCCAGGAAAACAAGCTACAATTCCTATTTCAGCATCATCCCTAGAGGAGCCCAACAGAGCCGGAGCAGGCGCTCCCCAGCCCGCTGTCAGTGTTGAAGGAGGCTGGAACGTGAGGGCAAACAGCACCACTCCAGCCAACAACAAGGCAAGAAAGGGGGATTTTGGGCCAGTACAGCACAAGGGATCCCAAAGCCTCGCAGGCAGTGTTGGGCCCCCCAGCTGCTGTTCCAAGCTGGGGGCCTGCAGTGGGTTTGTCACCTCCTGGCAGTGACAGCACCGGTGAGTCACCCCGAGGAAGGGCTGCCCAGGGAGCAGCTTCCTCTCCCGAGCAGCTGTAGGAAGGAGCAGCCCCCAGGGTGCTCGTGGACAAGTGCTTGGCACTGCTGGGACAGAGGGCCACCCCCCACGTGCCAGCAGCCGAGGTGTCCTCGGGGCCAGGATGTCTCAGGGCTCCTCACCCCACGTCAGTGACTTCTTCTGAAGGATGTCTGGTGCCACCAGGTGGCTGGGACACGAGTGTCCCCCACCAGGACAGCAGGACGGAGCAAGGATGGTGCTCGGCCTCACCACCACAGGGCAGAAGGACCCTTCTCCACAGGCAGGGCAGTGCCTTAGTCCCACCAGGCCCACCTCAGTCCTCCTCCACCCCCAGCGTGGGGCTCCAACCCTCACCAGGGGCTCCTCCTCTACATTGCACACAGTGAAGGTTCCTCAGGACCCCAGAACTACTCATAAATAGGGAACTACAGACTCTACATTGCTTAATACAGAAGAGCTTACGCAGCACAGGGTGGGGGGCAAGCCACAGACCCCCCCATGCTCAGCAGCATCAGCAGCTGTCCCCGATGGCAGAGGAGCCACCACCGTGTCATGGCTTGGGCTTGGCAGGGACGATCCTCCTCTTGGCACTGTAGAAGTCTGGAGGGCAGAAGGAAAGGGTTGGGAAGTGCCTGCAGCCCGTTGGGAGCAGTGGGGCAGGAAGAGGGAGGTGTACCCAGAGAGGCACCCCAAAATCAGCCCAGGAGGGTTCCATCCCAGAGCTCCCCCCCACCCAAAGCTCCCGGGGAGAAGAGCCTGCAGGTCTCCAATATCTCTGATGTTTGGTCTCACCTGTGTTTCCACCCCAGGCCCTGACCTTAGAGGGCAGAAATTTCTTCCTAAGAAATTTTTTACAGTGAGGGTGGGGAGGCCCTGGCAGGGGTTGCCCAGAGAAGCTGTGGCTGCCCCATCCCTGGAAGTGTCCAAGGCCAGGCTGGATAAGGCCTTGAGCAACCTGGAATAGTGGAGGTG